AAATCAGTAAATTGTTTGGTAAATTTGCAAAACTGTTATATTATAAAATTTATTGACTCTTTACACTTAAAATATGTTCTTCTTCTCACATTCAATTTCTTACAACAGCTGAAGTTTCATAAACATTTTTGTTTCCATGTTCTCCATGAACTAATGGAGAAATACGAAACTTTATAGGGCCCCAGGGCCTCACTCTTTAATTATTTCCCTAAAAAGAAAGTTTCCTGCACAACTTTAAGTTAAACTCTTTCCAATGACGCCAAAAACATGTCAATCGGTTCAGTAGTTTCGGAGGAGTAATTGTCACAAAAAACCTACTTGCGTATTAAATAAGTATATATAGATTTTTGCATGTACATTTATTTGTATAGTTGTGTGTGTATGTGTGTGTGTGTGTGTGTGTAATTGTATCATTAATATGTATTTTGTTTTTTCATATACTTAGTATAGTTATTGTAATTTTTTAATTTTTTGTTTGTTTTTGTGTAAATATTAGGCGTATATATTTAAAAATGTTCAAAAATGTATAAAAAAACTTGCTTATATATTTATTTTTGTATTTTTTTATATTTGATATGCATATACACATATATATATGTTTATTTATTGATTTATATATTTATTTTTGCATGTACGTTTATTTGTATAGTTGTCATTGCAATTTATAGTTGTTATGGAATTTTTCTTTTTTTTTTTTTTTGTAAATATTAGGCGTTTATATTTAAAACTTAAAAAAAAAATTGTATATATTTATTGTTGTATTTATTTTTATATTTGATATGCATATACACATGTTCATTTGTTCATTTATTGATTTATATATTTATTTTTGCATATACATTTATTTTCATAGTTGTCTTTGCAATTATTATTCTTTTGCACATATGCTAGTATATTTTTATTTTTTTTTAATAAATTAATTCATCTCTTTCTTGATTCATTTTCTTAATATTCCCGCTTTTACCACAAGAACATATAGATGTACAGTATAATTTATTATAGTTATGGTTATCCATGAAAACATCTTAACACCGTTTCAAACAATGTTCAAGTGCTTTTAGTTCAAATGCCTTTGAACATCAGTTCAGACTCGGGGTTTTCCCACGGTTTTAGCAATACGTGTCCAAATGTAATTGAACTGAATAATATTAATACTATGGGAAAAATCCGACTCTGAACTCGAATTCAAACAGGGTTGAATTCAAAGTGTGTTGTATTAGAACTGCAATTATATAAAAGGCAATAGTCTGAATGGAGCCTGAATGACTTACAAACATTGTAAGAGCATTATAACGTAGACACTACGTGTATGTATAAGATAAAACTGGGAATAGAAAACAAAACAACTAGATAATCAAAACGAAGTTTATTATAAAATAAACGCAGTTAGTTTATTAATATTAAAATAAATATTTGCAATCAAAACAACAACTTAGGAATACAATTCAATAAAAACATTAGCCACGAATGGGTTTGCAAAATATATACAGTAAGCTTATTTACAAAAAATAAAATAAAACTAATACAAGTCAATACATAAAGGAAGGGCAAGTATTACAAGTCAATAAATACATTTGCAAAATAGATGGGTTCGCAAGTAACGACTGAAATTATACACAACATATTAAAGACTAAACAACGAATCTATCAATAATACACTTGTTAGATATGTATCAATTACAATTAATTTTAGAAGTCAAGCCTTGAAAAACATATAAAATATATGTATAAAAAATTGTTTTTGCAATACAAAAAAAACATATATGGTTAAATATAAAAAGGAATTTTGCGATATACTAATAAGTAAAGGACACGCATTAACTCAAGAGATAAACGACAACTAAGGAATACAAGTAAAAAATTACATTTGCCACAAAAATAAGTTTGCAAGTCACGATTTAATTTATACAAAACAAATTAAGACAAAATACTAATGATGCAATAGTAAAGTTGTTAGAAATGTGTCAATTAAAATTTTAGAAGTCCGGCATTTGAGAAACATATGAAATACACAATAATTCTTTTCATTTGCAATATAAAAAATATATATATACGGTGCAATATATAACGAAATATTTATATATACCAATAAAGTAAAGGACACGCATTAATTCTAAAGATAAACGACGACTAAGGAATACAAATCAAAATATACATTCGCCACGACCGATGTAATGAGTTATTAATACCTAAGATAGCCAATTTAGGTCGAAAATCAATTCTGTGTCCATGGCTAGATGATCACTGCTGGGGGAGACTCCAGAGGGAGAATTCACTACTTCATGTTGAGGTTCATTCGATTTGGTTTCGATAATTGAACGCTTATCACTGGAGGGAGACGGTGTGGGGACTACTTCGGTGGGCGGAACTTCCACCTCAAGTAGATTTACTTTCATTTCTGTTACCATACAACGCTGTTCACTGCAGGGTGATTGTGAGGATACTTCGGACGTTGAATTTCCCACTTGGTGTTGAGGTTCATTCAATGTGGTTTCGACCGAACGCTCATCACTGGAGGGGGACGGTGTGACTACATCGGAGAGACTACATCGGAAAGCTTTGCACCCGTGAAGGGAGATGGTTTTGAGACTACGGTGGGAAAGTCTGTAATTTTGGTTTGCCGTTCTTTTAGCTTTTTCTTGTTCTTGTTATCTGGATTTTTGGAAATCTTTAATTTGAATCAGGTATACTAAAAGAAACCCTTTGTTTTCGTTTGTATTTTGATTTTTTAACGCCTTGGGATTTATTAATAGAGGGACGATCTTAGCAAGCCCACGTTCGCACCTAATTTTAATTGGTGATTTTTGTACGCAACTGTCAACCAGAATCTAGTCATTGTTTGTGTCTGTCCGCGGTACCCTCTTCGGTCGCACTGTCCAGCGCTTCATAGAATGTTCAAATGTAGTTTTTCACGGTCTCCACAATAAATCCCAGTCTGCCTTTCAACTGATTCCAAAACCCGATGTGCGATTCGATGTATTTAAGGTATTCCCTCCACATCAGACCTTGGGTATCGACTAGTATTAAACTAGTGTTCGCACAAGTTTAAAATAAATTGATTAATACCTAAGAACCTCGTCAGTTTCGCTATAGGTGTGATCAACAACGGCTCTCAAGTATTTGAGGACGTCTGCAAGCTCCTTGAACAAACACGTATTTTGCTTGTACTTACGATATACGACTTTTTTTCGATATTTCCTGGCTATCGCGCTTTCGTTATTCGCTTTCGTTATTTACTTTCTTTTAAGATTTGTATCCCTTATTCAGATCACGGTAAGCAAATCGACGGATGTGTACTGAAGTGTTTCAAAAATCGGAAATGTTCAGCGCCTTTTCCAACGTTCTAATGTAGTTTTATCGCTGTCTCCGCACTTTGCTTTTCAACTGATTCCAAAACTTAATGTGCGATTTGATGTCCTTAAGGTATTCCCTTCACATCAGCCCTTGGGGATTGACTAGATGATGGTTCCCGTTTTTGTGAGCGAAGTTCAGAGTTCTTTTTATCTGCCTGACGGTGTAAGTATACCGGGTTCAATTACTTCTACTTCCACGACGTGTTTAATTTTATATTCATTCTCTTCGAATCTGGGTGGTAACGGTTCCAATGCGACGTCATCGGTTGGTGACACGCGTTCATGTTAGAAATAAACAACTATATTGTGAAATATACAACGCGATTTTGCGGTGTACAAATAAAAGTTGATTAATGCGATTAAGTACAGGACACGCAATAATTCTAAAAAAACGACAACTGAGAAATACGAGTCGAAAAATACATTTCCAACGACCCTCCTCACCCCAATCAATGAAATAGTGCCGATTGTTGAAAACTCCAGTATAATTCAATCCGGCAGCTTTCAAAGCCTCTCTGGCGGGTTTTTGTAGCTTGTTGAACCTATACTGTGGCGGAATAAGACTTATATCGCTTGTACTTACGAAATACGACTTCCTTCGATCTTTCCCGGCAAATGCGCTTTTGGTATTTTAATTTATTTTAAGAATTTTATCCCTTATTCAGATTATACGGTGTAACTAACGTCATTCTGATCTTGCGAGGGCCTATGGAGAGGAAGAGGGATAAACTCAGATATATGGCTCGCAACTCCTGAGACTTGAAGTCTGCCAGTATCATCATAGTTAATAGGAAGTAGGTTAATATTTACATTGAACACGATCAAAATACCATTACAAATAATTATTATTTAATTAAATTGCCATGTTTTTTGCCCGTTGATACTTGATTGAAATTAAAATACAGTTCAAAGTGCACATATTTTTACTTCAAGTACATTTTATGAACTTCAGTTCAGACTCGGGTTATTCCCACGGTTTCGGCAACAAGCATTCAAATGTATTTGATCTGGATGTTTTAAAGTTTTAAACTGGAGTCATTAAATTTAAAACGCCAACAATACATAAGATATTCAGAGTGGTACACTAAAGAAAAATATACAAACATATTGCACACAAATTAGTAAAATAAATAAATAAATAAAATTAATTAATTAGTAAATTCGTAAAATACAACAATTATAATGATATTTATTAAAACAAGTTTAAAAAATGTTACTCTATTATAATAAAAATAACAAAAATGTAACATGGTGGTGATAAATTCCCGGAACAAATAAATATTTTAAAATAATTAGAATTTAAAAAGAGGCAAAGCTAATAAATTACATCACACACAACTTTGAAGACATATTGCACACAAACTATTTTAAAAAATCGATTCGTAAAATAAAGTAGTTGTAATGAAACCAAATAAGACAAGTAAACAAATATTAATATACAGTATAATACAAAACGTACATAATGAAACAGGGTGGAAATAGTTTTCCGGAACAGTTAAATATTAAAAAAATACACATGGATCAGTATCTTTCTAGTAACCATCAACACAGTGCGGGAGTGTTTATAGTGTGAGATAAACGACGACTAAGGAATACAAATCAAAATATACATTCGCCCCGACCGATGTAATGAGTTTTTATTAATACCTAAGATAGCCAATTTGGGTCGAAAATCGATTCGGCGTCCATGGCTAGATGTTCACTGCTGGGCGAGACTCTAGAGGGAGAATTCACTACTTCATTCACTACTTCATTTTGAGGTTCATTCGATTTGGTTTCGATAGTCGAACTCTTATCACTAGACGGTGTGGATACTACTTCGGAGGGCGGAACTTTCACTTCAAGTTGATTTTCTTTCATTTCTGTTACCGTAGATCGCTCTTCACTGCAGGATGATTGTGTGGATACTTCGGATGGCAAATTTTCCACTTCGTGTTGAGGTTCATTCAATGTGGTTTCGACGGAACGCTCATCACTGGAGGGAGACGGTGTGACTACATCGGAGGGCGAATTTTCCACTTCTTTCATTTCTGTTATCATAGAACGCTGTTCACTGCAGGGTGATTGTGGGGATACTTCAGACGTTGAATTTCCCACTTGGTGTTCAGGTTCATTCAATGTGGTTTCGACGGAACGCTCATCACTGGAGTGAGACGGTGTGACTACATCGAAGGGCGGATTTTCCACTTCACGTCGAGTTTCTTTCACTACGTTTTTAATGGAAAGCTTTGCACCCGTGAAGGGAGATGGTTTTGAGACTATGGTGGGAAAGTCTGTAATTTTTGTTTGCCGTTTCTTTAGGTTTTTCTCCAACAACAGACTTTTAATTTTTTCGAGCCTATTGCTTTTTGGTTTAGGACCCTCCTTAGTTTTCGTTCTTTTTATCTGGTTTTTTGGAAGTCTTTCATTTAAGTCAGGAGTATTAAAAGAAACCCTTTTGACTTTCTTTGTATTTTGATTTGTTAACGCCTCGGGTTTTGTGTTCAGAGAGACGATCCCAGCGAACCCCTTAATTCTAATTGTTGATTTTTGTACGGAACTGTCAACTGGAGTCTGGTCTTTGTTTGTTTCTGCCGCCGATATCTTATTTTGCCCCTCCGTAGATTCTTCTTGCACGACATCTCTTAATTCCATTCCATTCTCATCACAACTTGGTAGGACTGTTTCCAATGGACTATCAACATCTGGTTGATCGTCTTTACGTTTGTGTGACAACTTGACCTTTTCCTCCTTTATCACAAATTCCTCTTCCACTACGTCTCTTATTTCCATTCGATTCTCATCGCATCTGGGAAGGACTGTTTCCAATGCAATGTCAACTGGTTGATCGTCTTTACGTACATTTGTCAACGTGACTTGTTTCTCCTTTCTCACAATTTCCTCTTCCACGACGTGTTCTATTTCATTTTCTTTCTCTTCGAAACTGGGGATTTGTGTTTCCAATGCTACGTCAACAAGTGGTTGATCGTCTTTATATTTGCTTATCATAGCTTCATCTTCTACGACTTGTTGATTAACTTCATATACACTTCCATGACATATGAGTTGGGTTGTTTCAAATGCATCGACAGCTGGTGACTTGTTTTTATTTTTTTGTGACCTCTTGACTTTTTTCTTTTTTTCGATAACTTCTTCTTCCACGGCGTGTTCAATTTCATTTTCCTTTTCGCAAATGGGTGGTACTGTTTCCAATGCGATGTCAACAACTTGTTTATCGTCTTTATATTTGCGTTTATTCTTTACTTTTTTCTTAATTTCCATAGCTTCATCTTCTACGACTTGTTGACTAATTTCATACACACTTCCATGAGATTTGAGTTGTATTGTTTCAAATGAGTATTGTTTCAACTTCTTTTGTGCTGGTTCCAATGCGATGTCAACAGTCGTCGTCTCGTCTTCATATTTTCTTTTCACCTTGACTTTTTCCCACATTCCCATAGCTTTTTCCTTCTCTTTCTTTTCTTCTTTTCTTCTTTTCTAAAACAGTACATAAAAACATGTTAATTCAACCAATGAATTTAGATAAAAAAAAACACTCACAATAGCCTCTAAAACATCTGACATCAAACAAACTCTCACATTATATAACCACTCGATAATTCATTTAAAGTTTAACATTTACTTTAAACGCGATTAAAATAGCATTACAAATAATTAATATTAAATCAAATTGCATGGTAAATATATTTTTGGCCTGTTAATATTGGATTGCATTTAAAATACAGTTCAAAGTGCATGTACTTTTACTTCAAATACATATGAACTTGAGTTCAGATTCGGGTTTTTCCCACGTTTATAGCAACAAGTATTCAAATGTAATTGAACTGAACGGATTTATTACTATGGGAAAACGCCGACTCGGAACTCGAATTCAAACAGAGCTGAACTCAAAGTGTGTTGTGTTAGAATTACGAATTGAATAAACAATTAACGTTATAAAACGCTGTCACTTTAGGTAGTCCGGGTTTTTAGTCCTTTTTAAATAAGAAAGCTATGCAAAATCGTTTAAAAACCTCAAGTTTCAATGTATAGTTTTGATATGTTAAACAAATAGCGAGGAAGGGGAAAATGTATTCTTGGTTGTAGCATGGGTGTTTCAAATGGAATATAAAAAGCTATCAAAGATCTCGTAAAGTAATACCAATTTGATATTACTCGTAAAGTAATATCAAATTTCGTAAAGTAATACTCGTATTGTAATATTTATTTACTTGTATCTTTTGTGTGCTTTATTCAATATACAAAATATAAAATATCGAATATTATATAATTTGACTTAATTTCAAAATAAAACTGTATATCTGATTATATTAGTGTTACAGTTACGAAAAACTTAAGCCTTCATATATTATTGTACGTCAACAACAATATTGTAGCCTACTTACTTAATGATTTCGTTTGACATTAAATAAATAATTGTATTAGCATTATGTTGCGGAGCGTGATGCACCAATGTTTTGGTAATAATGAACAACTGACGATTTTAATAAGAACGATGATTTATTGATGTAGAAATGAGCAAATACTATTATAGTGGACTGTATAAATGAACTGTGATGAAATAAATTGCTATAATGAAACTAATTCGGTTTTAACTAAATGTGAAATACGTGGAGGGAACTGCCTCACACGTCCTATGCTAACCGAACAATGTCCTGCTTGTCGATGCACAGACAAAAGACACCTCCCTCACTCGGTTTGGGATTACAAATTTCTAAGAACTGGTGAGGAAGGGCACGTCGTTTCGCAGAAGGACGATGTTTATGACTCTGTGCTAAAGCCGACAAATGTCGCCTAGCAAGAAGTACGGGGGACGCGGAAAGGTCGCCCCCGGAAACATCACCCCCCCCTACGTCATATTGACGTCAGAGACCGGGGGGTGATGTTTCCGGCCGCGGACACTCAATTTCAGTTGCAACATGCACTCGTCGATATAACGAGTTATTTCTGAGTTTGCGTATTAATTAGATAATTATATTCACTTATCATATACAATTACCAGATTTTCTAATTAGAATTGATGTTAACCGGATACGTTAACCCCGATCGTTTTCAAAATGCACACCCCGGAAAGGTCCCCCCCTGCCATGATCTCCCCCGGTATACCTGCTGTAGGGCTTGGACTCGTGACTCGAGCCAGCTATTGTTCACAAGGGTAGAGACTGTCCCATATTACCACCGCTCGACTGAACTCGCAAGAATGGGAAGGATTTGGTATTATTACGCAAATGTTGTGGATATTAAGATAAATACAAATTAACACTATGATATTGTGCAAATGCTTTCTCTAGACATTTTCCCTTAATTGTATACATCAAATGATGTATAAATTACATATAACTTTTTTCCGTCAACGTATAAAATGTTTTTGAAACACGTGGAAATGAAATAAAATGTTTATAGTAATAGTGACAATTAAGTAAGGAATCAACTCGTATTAATATGAGCATGCTTCAACCACTCAACATCATAATACAGTCAGTACACACTTGACAAACATATTTTCACATTTCCTAATTCTTAAATTGTAAACATTGGGCAATAAATGCTGTATATAACTTTTATACATTTAAATAATTGTCTGGATTTTATGGTAAAATAAATGCATTGAGAATATTCCTGATTTGATATTGGTGAAGGACTCTTTCCCATAAAAAGAATTTAGAAAGTAAATATTGGTTAGTTTCTTCGGCAATAAACAGGAAAAAGCTCACACTGTTAACGTTTGCGTTGACAGAGAAGCAAGCAACAGTGTCACATTCACTTTATTTCATGATTTCACACTGCTGATATTAAATAATTAAATTGACATTGAAGCAGTACAGTTATTCCATGAACGGTCGCCCATTGTTTTGAAAGTTACACATTTAAATCTACCTGTAGTTCGCAGAATATTAATACGTATAACTTAAAAGTTTACAAGAGAACATAATCCTAAGTATAGTATCCACTATTCTCAGAGTATTGATTTATGGAATTCGTCTGTAATTTGCAGACTATTGATTCGTAGAGTACAACTGTATTTATAGCGGGAAGTATTTTTTGTAAAATAGCTTAGACTTCCCCACTTCAGGTATCCCTCCCAAGAATACCTGAGCCAAATACGTTTGTTTAACATAGTCAAGGAAAAGTTTAGTTAGTTATTTACTAAAGTCAGTTTCATCTTTTTACCATAATTCGTACATTAACATAATTCATAATTAATTATCAGTGTTATCTAACCTATGTACTTAATTAATTTGGAAGGGGTTAATTTGTGAACAGAACGCCTCATTGAGTTTTAAACAGATTTTGAAAATTTTAATGTAATTTGTAAAAAGTATACTCTGAAGTTCCACTAACAATAAAATCAGCTCAAAATATGGTAGGGGATTTTCCCCAGTGTTTTCTAGAGACCTGCTACACCGGTTCATATTTTTATAACCCTCGAAATTTTGGTATATCGATATAGACTACACACATTCTACAAACATGACATGAACTTTCATGGCATAAACTTATAGGCCTATTTACACAGATTTGATTTCAGACAAATCTTGATTTTACCCAAGGGTAGAAGTATTAGAGATGTATAGTTCAAATCTACAGATTTCCTGAATACGAAGATCCGTTACGGTAGGAAAAAACAACATTTAAAATTGAAACAGTATGCGGGCAAACACCGACGATCAATATTTAAGTAAACTACTTGTAACATAAAAACGTCAATGACAGTTTGAAACCAGTTGTTAGTTAAAACAGCGCTGAAACGACTTTAAATTATTAGCGTCGGCTGCTAGACTAAAAAAATTAAACTTAAAAAATGAAATCATGGCATAGACATTCCCTTCCTTAGAAAATTATATTTATTTCAACACAAAAATAACGAAATCACGAAAGTGGTTGATTCAGAATCCTGAAATGAAAAAAAAAACTCTGTCACGTTTAAAAATATAATATATCACAATAATTGCACACTCTAGTGGAAATCGATGAAACCCACCCATATGAATTCTTAAATCCGTTTACTTTTCCACTCTTTGCGTTTTTGTACATGCCAAGTCAAGCCTGAAAACATTACATTTAAAACAATTGTATTAAATCTTCCATAAATTACAAGAAACAGTGACTCATCCTTTTTCCCCGATTCCGAATATTTGTGCGCAATCTTGGCGACTTATGTTCAGTCTCCAGCATTTTGGAGGTGTTCGCAATTCAGACACACCCGTTCCCATAGTCCGATTATGCTGGTTCACGAACTCGTTCTAATAAACTTAGGCTTACACGTTTGTAACATATCTCATCAAACTCGCAGCGTTGTTGCCCGAGTTACCGCGCTCACGGTCACATATACAGGGTGGATTTATAAAGTCCCGCATGGGCTTAATATTTTCAAAACGGCAATAGATAAATCAATAAGATTTGGTACATAAACACCTCACCTAAAAACAACGTTTTAAAGACTGTCAGTATTCTGTCATATAATGGGGACATCCCGCAAGGAGTCAGAAGGAAATCTTAAATAAGAGCATAGGTTGATATTTACAGATAACCGTAGGCATATTCTACAACTTAGTAAAACGTTATTTTTTGTATTAAAGCGATTTTTCATTTAGGACCCAAATGATTTTTCTTTTTGCTTTCTTTATTTGTTGTGCTCTTGGTCTTTATTGTTTACCAGGTTTTTAATGATTTATTTGTTGCCAAAAACAATTTAAGAAAATATATTAAATTATTTACTCACATTATTTTTTACGTAGTTAAAATGACTAAGTATTTGATTCGATAATTTGAAATATTATCAACATATTTTTCAACCTTTTCCCATATAAGAACGTGTCCAAACACTACCAAATAGGTAAAGGTACTACAGTAACAAAATGTGTATTTATAAAAAGAAATAAAAATAATGGTTTTATGGGGTAAAAATTGGGGTTTCCCATTTTTGACACTAAAAACTTAAAATTTATCAATTTCTTTATAAACTATTTTGTAGAGCTTAAAAAACAAATAATTTAGTATATTGAAGCGTTAATTATGCGCCTAATGGTTACGGAGAAAATTCCAAAAATCTGTAAATTTTAAATTTCCATGTTATACTTAGAATAAGTAAACTGTTGTAGTTTGCTTGTTTATATACGTATTTTAATTAAATTTGGAAAATGCATTCATTTCATACTAAACTATTATCATTTTACAAAAAAAAACAACATCTTTTTACCCTCCCTGTTGCAGCAAACCTTAGTACTCGTTAAACTTTGATGGTTCAAAACTGGACTCAGCTGTTCCTGATCATTGTGCTTTAAATAAATGGTCCTGGCTAATGAAACAGCTGATCTTAGTCAGTAACAAAGCTACACATATCATCTCACACCATTCTACACTCATATTCGGGTTAAAAATATCAATTGATATTGATATTGATATATATTGAACTAATGTTATTTAAATAGGGAATAAATGTGATATTTTTACAAAGACATTTTAGCGTAAATCCAATCAGGCAAGTGGAAATTCGCTTAGTCTGCAGGTTTGCTGTGTCGGGGGTATTTTGAATTATAATTGGCACTGTGTGATACATTAATTGGAGTATATACGAATGTTACTATCGTTTAAGCGATGTAATACAAGTTTTCAGCTCAACATTTCAAATTTTGATTACATATTGAAAATTTGAACTCACGTATATTTTCCCCTTAGTAATTATGAAATATAATTTTGCAAACTTCAGTAGCAAAAAGGTTTTCTAAACATATACATCTTATAACAAAACTAATTTATTGGTATATCAACACTGATTGCAAGTCCTCTTCTCGATTTAAAGTGATTCTGATATTTTGATTATACTTTCATTATATTTTGACTCTATTCCAGTGATATGAAACTAGCCTAGGCTGTTTCTGAATTAAGGTAATTTTTGGCATAACCTTTAGAATAGTATCATTTACATATTTGTAATTACTAACAATTAATTATTTCGATAAGTCGAAGGGATTAATCCCCTAAAAGATATTATTATGTTTATTCTTATTTAATAATCTGTTTCTAATTTTCAAATTATTAATTAAATCGGGGCCAAACCTAAAGCAATGCAATTCATTTTTAATACATTCAGAAATTATTCTATTTTTAACAAATGTGTTGCTTAACAATTACCATAGGGTGTAAGGTAAGTTTACTGATGTTGATAAGTGTGTAACTACCATTTAATGCAACAGAAAAAATGTATAGGCCCTACTTTACGCATTATCGTTGGTTATGAATTAAGTATAAAAGAATAATTTTTTAAAGTCAATCTTTGCTCGCATTATTTAGTTGTCTTAGAAGTTCATACACATCTAAATCTACTGATTGATATTCCACCACAGCGTCTGCAATTTTCTTCTGTGAAAAAGCTGTTGTCCAAGCGACAATAATAATGAACGAGCGGCCGACCCTCAGAACAATGGACTTAGGAGGACGGGCAGCAGGTAGGCTGCCGAGCAGCCCAACCCTACTAGGGGTAGCGTTTCAGGGGGGGACGATTTCGGGGTGTACATAAGGGATGCCTTGCCGGGGAAGACCTTCCCGTTTCTACTTGTTTGAATTAAAATTAATAACATAATTAGTTCATATCAACTAGATTTTGATAAATTACTTGTCAAGCCCTTGGGGGGAACGATTCCGGTCGCGGACATAGATTTTATACCAGCTGGTTGTCTGGTTTCGTGACGTCACGTTTAGCCTGGGGGGTGATGTTTCCGGGGGCGACCATTCCGGCGACCCGAAGTACGTTACAATTTGAATGTGATATGTGAATTGGTTAACTATTTACTTACAATATTATTTACACTAATAACATATATAAAACAATAAATAATCATGATACTAAACACATTACGAATTGAATTAAAAATTAATTTTGTGTGTTTTTACAATATACAAAATGTAAAATATCGAATATTATATAATTTGATTTAATTGCGAAATAAAACTGTATATCTGATTATATTAGTATTACAGTTACTAAACACTTAAGCCTTCATTTATTATTGCACGTCAACAAATATATTTGTAGCCTACTTGTTTATTGGTTTCCTTTGACATTAACTAAATAATCGTATTGCAATTACGAATTGAATAAACAATTAACGTTATAAAACGCTGTCACTTTAGGTCCATAGTCCGGGTTTTTAGTCGTTTTAAAATAAGTAAAGCTATGATTTTTTTTTATAACCTTAAGTTTAAATGTATAGTTTTGATATGTTAAACAAATAGCGAACAAGTGGAAAAGGTATTCTTGGTTGTAACTTGGATGTTGAACAAATGTAGTTTACTTGACAATACCAGCTGTTGATCTACATCAATGTAAATTTATCACTTTACAATGTCTAACACATTTTAGTAATACAACTATCATACAATAGTTAATAATACTAAACTACATCCAATAGTTACAAACAACGTGTGTTTTGAATCATTAAGTATTAGCATTGCACACAAAATGACGAGAATCTATGGGCGACAGGATATCTAAAGATACAATTATTATTTTTATCCTAGTGAATAGACACATCCGTTTCAATCGCGGATTACTCCTCTCATAATGCGCATGCGCGAGTAAACTGTTCCGTGGAGCTGTGACATACATCAGATATATGTTTTATCTGTTACAACGTTTACAACCAATAAATTGTATATATAGCCACAGGACAGGTTGACACTTTTACCAACTAGTCTGCGCTTTGTTTTTACTTTAGTCTACTTTCTGATTCTTGCTCATCCGTTGGTTCATTGTTGTAGGATCTCATGTGCAAGTCCTCCCCCTCACATCACAATAATTCACATGTTCACAACTAATTACTGGGGATCCACAAAGACGGTGTTTATATTAATATACCGTATACGATACACATATAATACCAAATAATAATGTCGTTATTATGCATAAAACAATAATACGTTGTTATTGCACTTACTTGTGCAGAAAAAGTAGGTGAGTCACCCAATACATTATTACTTGTTATTTTCACCTAGTCTTATCTATGCACCCTTTAGACTTCCCTCTAAAATCTCAATACCAGTAATTTTAATATTGCCTTAGTAACTATAGTAAATTGTTGCCTTTTAGTTTAAAAGAACCTTACTGAATTTGAGACCACACACCACGTTGTTCTGAGTCAGCTATATCACAATTAAAAATTATGGATCAAGGTCTCGATAGAAACTTGACAGTAACATATTCGAAAGCTATGCCTAATTTGTAAATTAAACTTGAATTTTGATGGATTAATAATGAATTAATTTTTCAACTAAGGGGAAAAATACCTTAAATTCCACATTACGGTATCCTAGTTTATATAATCTAAGGTGACCCCTATTTCCCCCGAAGTTAAGTATCCGTTCCATCCATCTAACGCTTGTCACAGCTCCCAATGAACATGGAACAGTTTGTTTGCGCATGCGCATTGAATAGGAGTAATCTGCGATTGAAACGGATGTGAACAGACAGGCTAAATATCGCCGGTCATCCCCCCTCTTCCCCAGATTAAAAAAGGTTAATCTTACCTTATTAATCTTCTCTTTCTTTTCTTCCATTTTGACGTCACCAGTTGGTGTCTCTTCTTGAGGTTTGCGTGACTTATTTACTGCTGGATCCAATGCGATGTCAACAGTCGTTGTCTCGTCTTCATATTTGAGTTTTTTCTTGACCTTTTTCCTAAATCCCGTAGCGTTTTCCTCCTCTTTCTTTTCTTCATTTCTTCTTTTCTAAAACATTACATAAAAACATGTTAATTCAACCAATGAATTTAGATAAAAAAACACTCACAAAAGCCTCTAAAACATCTGACATCAAACAAACTCTCACATTATATAACCACTCGATAATTCATTTAAAGTTTAACATTTACTTTAAACACGATAAAAATAGCATTACAAATAATTAATATTAAATCAAATTGCATAGTAAATATATTTTTGGCCTGTTAATATTAGATCTAACGCTTGTCACAGCTCCCATGGAACATGGAACAGTTTGTTTGCGCATGCGCATTGAAAAGGAGTAATTTTCGATTGAAACTGATGTGAATAGACAGGCTAAATATCGCCGGACATTCCCCCCCCCCTTTCACCAGTTTAAAAAAAGTTAATCTTACCTTATTAACATCTTTGCCGTTCAGTGGATTTTTAAATAACGACCCCGCCTTAGACATTTCTCTAACTTAATGTTGACTGCTTATTGCTGCAGGGCAGGAGTGAGGAGCTGGTGTGTCCTCGTTGACTGTTCGGAGAGAACTGATGCTACACTGACGGGCAGCTCTGTATTTATGCGTTTTCCCCGCCGGGGTCATTTCGGGCTCGAAACGATTAATGCCCCCGGACAGAACAATGGATTTCTGGCCTTACCGGCCTTAGGAGTTGCCGGGGGCGTAAGCGACCGGCCTTCGGAGCTCCCGGGGGCATGAGCGACCGGCCTTCGGAGCTGCCGGGGGCATGGGCAACCGGCCTTCGGAGCTGCCGGGGGCATGGGCAACCGGCCTTAGGAGTTGCCGGGGGCATGGGCAACCGGCCTTCGGAGCTGCCGGGGGCATGAGCGACCGGCCTTCGGAGCTGCCGGGGGCATGGGCAACCGGCCTTCGGAGCCGACGGGGGGAGCCTTACGATCGTAACGTCATATTCGTATTATAATATTTATTTATCTGTATCTTTTGTGTGTTTTTACAATATAAAAAATGTAAAATATCGAATATGATATCATTTGACTTAATTGCGAAAAAAAACTGTATATCCGATTTTATTAGTATTACAGTTACTAAAAACTTAAGTCTTCATATATTATTACACGTCAACAACTATATTGTGTATCCTACATGACAAACTTTGAATTCAAATCTGTTTGAACTCGAGTTCCGAGTCGGGGGTTTCCCACGGAAATGCCGTCTTCCAGTTCAATCGTATTTGAATTGTTATGTTACAACCGTGTGAACAACCCGCGATATAACTCGAGTTCATTTGTGTTTGAAGTCAAAGCACATGGACGTTGAATCGTAAAATAAACATCTTATCTCAGAAATTTTACACCCAGTATTTTAAACTTGATTTGGTGTATCAAAAATAACGATTAAGCGTGTATTATTTCTCCCTTTTATCCCTGAGGGGGGCCCAGATCCCGAATGTGTGCCTGCCACCGGTTGATCATTAAATTAATTAATTATTTAATTATCAATCCTCCTCTAGTAATACGAAATAGCCTAATCCCTTGAAGTTTTGCATTGGCCTAAAAGTCTAGTGGTTTACACAAAGAATTAATTGACATAAAATAAAACATAAACATATTTTATGATATTTGTCAAAGTTGGTTGGGAAATAACGGATAATATGAAGGGAATGTAACATTATAAAATGGCACATTTCGGGATCGGGAAGGCATTTTTAACATCAGCTGATCGTTCCTTTTGGTTTTTTTTAATCTTATATATTAAAAAAATTTCGATCCTCATTGAATTAGTTTAACAAGTTCTTAGGATTGCTGCTAAATGGATAATATAGTTATTACCGTAGGTGGTACGGTAACACCTAGACCCTTAAATAACTATTCGTTCAACTTGTTATAAGTATTTTCGAAAGTGTTATTATCGAATTCCCCTATAGGTCACGGAGATACAACTTAATTTTTAAGGTGACAGGGGGACAACTAACGCTTTTCCATAAATTACTCTATTTTATTGATCCAATTGGCCAATTAAGGAATTGAAACATATAATATACTGCTACTGTATATACATCTGGGAATCTCACTCCTAATTGTTTAATATGGAACGATCTTACTTAAAAACATAAATCCTTCTGTAGACGTCTAGCTAGATCTATTCTATAACAGGTACTCGTCTGTTGAAAGATACAAATGTATAAATATAACTAATAGGCTTTTCAAGAGGTTTTCAAGAACACGTTTCACTCATCAGAGGTCGTCAAATAAAGACGTGGTTCTAGAGAGGTGTTCTTGAAGACCTGATGATGAAGCTATTATTGTTTCGAAACGCGTAGTCGACGGACAGCCTTTGGATTATGGCAGATCCAGGTAACATTATACCTTTTATAATATAAAAACAGTAAAACTGAGACAAGAAACAACATGGAATTTTTCATTTTAAATTTCTTAGACATTTGTCCAACAATACTTTCAATGATAACTTTAATAACAGATTTGACTTTGTAAGATTATAATATAGTTTATAGGTGGGTGTTTCGAGTTTAGTTAGTGTCACTACACTACCGTTAAATTTATATTAATTTTAAATTTGTTGAACTCAGGGTCATATAGTTTATAAATTACTCTTCCAGGTCATGTATTTTAACTCTCATGTAAGGGTTGATAAGTATATTCTTAAATTTTATTAAATTACAATAGGCAGTAGAGCTTCTGTATTTTGAGCAATGGAGAAGCTTGTCTATCCTTTGTCGCTAATGAGTTTCTGAGGAGAGTCCTAATCTAAATATATGGAAGGTCTGTGACCTATCTTGCTACTTTCCGAGAAGGATCAAGATGTCCCCAACTACAGAATCGTATGGTTTAATGCTAATGGGTTTCTGATGAAAGTCCTGGCTTATAATACCTAGGGGTCTCTGACCTATTTCTGCCTTTGTCTTAAAAGTTCCCGTGTTTCCTTAACTATTTAACAATACAGTTATATTTTGGAAATCTGATCTCGTTGTATGATCATGTTTTGAACACAGTTCACTTGTTTAAAAATATTAAACTGGGATTGATAAAATAGTTTGCAAAAAAACTGCATATTATTGTTTGTGTTTATAGTGAATATAACAGTGACAAGACCAATCTCAAAATTGTACAAATAATGGTTCCAAAATTCCTAACAATGTTTTTGACGAAGGCTAGTGAATATAACAGTGACAAGACTAATCTCAAAATTGCACAAATAATGGTTCAAAAATTCCTAACAATGTTTTTGACGAAGGCTTTGATAAAAAACAGATTTTACTGAATAATGGTTTTGTACTTGATTTGTAAGAAAGTACAACTGTCGCAAACTATAATATGGTACTGCTTGTGATAGACTATAGTGTTGTCATTCTAATTACTTAATGTGTTCAATACTGGCATACTAATAAAAATAAATTAAAACATGTGTTGTGTTCAAACTAGAGATTTTTAAATCCTAATCCTGAAGATTTTCTAGCATCGATTGAACAAGCTATTTGTATATTCACCAAAGTAGTTCAAGTAAAGGTCGATTCACACATATCAGGTACGACACGCCATTGTTGCTGGAGCTGACAAAGAAGTGGATAATTTATCACCTATAGAAACACAAATTTTCATGGATTTTCTATCGCACTATTTACACTCATCCGGTGCAAGTCCGTCAGTCAATTTCAGATTGCTTCCCAACGATATTTTTGGATTGTTTGCACGCCTGACGTTACGTCAGTGACGTACGAGTTTAATGTCAGAAATTTTTTTTTTTTTATTCAAACTATCATATTTATATTTTAATTACTGCTAGTAACAATCAACAAAGATGGGCGATATAAATTTAATATAATCTTGTATTTAATTACAAATTAATGACTGTGACGTCACTGTAAATCCAATGACGGAAGTATGACTGAAACCAACTAACGGACAGTTGACCGAGAAATTGCGAATGCAACTTGTATAATTTAGTTAAATTATACATATTTTGAGCATTAAACATTGTTTAAAAAGTATTAAGTGTAATAACACATTACCTTAGGTAATCACAGTTATAAATTTTGATATTCAGATAAACTAAAACAAGTAAAATCCCTCAAATTGAGGGTCAAACATATTCAATGTTTTCCTGCTGAATACCTCAAACAATTTAACAACACGACAATCTTCACACAAAAAAAAACTAAAAGAATATCTGATTGAAATAACCTATAACTATCACAAACGTTTAAACAAATAATAAATAAAATTAATTGGCTCACACACACAAACACCTGCTCAAATCTCACGAATAAATAACAATTCCCTGGTATTCAAGGAGTGGAACCTGTATGTACAGTATATGCTGTAGTCAATGATAAAACTGCGTGTTTACAATATAGCCTATCAAGATGAAAATTTGACAGTATGTTTTGTGCATCTAATTCTCATTTACATGAGATCGATATTATAATTTGCTAACAGAATTTAGTCATTTTAGTCGACACTGGTTCACTCAACCGTTTCCACAGACTCTTATCAACACAGTTCAGATTTTAAAGTCTGATTGCACTGTTTAGATTCAATAATAAATCCACTAGTTTATAATTCTTTCGTTGTCAATTTTACCATTAATTTTTATATTAAAACAGCTGATTCAAATAGTTTGTTTTGGTTCCCTTTCACATTGATCAATATTATTTGTTTCGCCATTTAAAACATTTAAACGACTTCGCAATCAAACGTTTCCAGTATTTAATAATTGATATCTTCAGCTTTTACCGACATTATTGGATAGATTAAAGATTGGGTCATGAATATGTTATTTCGTATGAATCATATTTCAAACCAGTAGCACCTGAGTGGGGTTTTATTTGTACTGTATTTAGATCATATATTGGTTTGCTTATAACATATGCAAGTATACTATGATTCTTTGTTTATATATACTTTGTTCTGTAATTATCATCAAAACCCATGAAGCCTTATGTTACAAATTTAAAAAAATATATGTTTCTAATTGTATTGGAATTATAAAGTTGAAGTTTTTATTAAATAAAAATATTACTGTTTGTTAAAATAACCTTGTTAAGTTTGGCTAAAATATGTTCTACCATTATTGTAGGAAACGAATAGAGAAAATGTTTGCATAAGACCCAATATCAAGGAGGTCCGCACAGTTAATGTATGTTTTTAACACGTTGGGCTGATTTCTCACAATATTTGAAAAAAAAAAACATCACGTACATCAATAGTGTATTCGGCCAACTGACTGTTTCTGCCTGAAAGATGGGAAATTAAGACTAAATCTCAAGGTTCTTCGCTCAATTAATCTAAGATTTTAACAAACAGTCGAGCTGATTTATTTTGATATTTGATCAAACATCATGTACATCAATACTGTTTTTGACCAACAATCTATTTCTGTCTAACAGATAGGAAAGCCGGGGTCCAAGTCTTTGTTAGGTTTCTAGGAAAGGTAGGTATTCTCCTCGGTTACCTCCCGCTATCTCTGCG